ACCCGGTTGATTCTATGATTCTATTCAGTCATCACTTTGCATATAGAGCATTTCTTCTGAAACACTCAACAGCCATGCAAACAAAAATTAATTACTTTAGTGACTTAAACTGTATCAGCAATTACCTTGTATAGGAAGATTTCTAACGTACTTACCGACAGTGCAAGACTGAGGATGGATGTGGCATAGTTAAAGCTGTGGACTACTTTGTAGGATGTAGTACTGTAAATCTTCACATGCCTATACAGAAGAGTAATGATAAAAACATTGTTACCAATGACTTACTGCCATCGCTTTACAGGAATTTCATCACTCAACTTTTATAGATCATTTAAGGAAACTGAGTATTTTTACAATGCATTCTTCAGACTAACACGGAGCTTGTTAGTTATTACACCTCCTGCAGCAGGAAGGCTCTGTTTAAAGATACCCACAAGTCAAGAAACGATGACTCTTACTCCAAAAAGGATGAAAATGGGGCAAGGACAGAAGAGAGAATTGGAGGCAGTTGTAATGACTATTTGACTTCAGAAACACTAAGACAACATCTCTTCAAATTTGTTCCTAAATTTTAAATGTAAGGTCTATCAACAATTTCTGGAAGTAAATCTATAGACATTCTTGTATCTGGCTGCTCCTTAAGATTTGGTTGAAGGTATCAAATATTTAACAATTGGGAAAAACAAGTATTATCTTACAACAAAGATAAACATTTGTGTTATATAACCATAAAGCCTGAGGTAGCCTGTGAAGTACAGGATGGATGAGGAAAACAGACCACTGTCATTTCAGACCACTTGATGTTTGTAGTATCTCAGAGACAACAGACCTAGCACCAGTACACAGCAACTCAAACTAAACAAAAAAAGAAGGAGGTCATATTTCATCTTGGGAACAAAAAGCAACAGCAGAGAGATAGAAGACACAGTCTTTTTAAAGGTGAATAGTAACATACTTTTAGCTACTTAAACTGTATCAAGAAGAGCTGCTTTACAGAGACTGCACAGGTCAGTTCTAGAGATCCAAAAAAACTGAATGCCTATTCAGAAATTCCTCATATGCATTCCCAAATGGCACATGCAATCCTTACTGATGTTCAGGAAAAGGTTAAAGTATATCACAGAATCATAGTAGTCTGAGTTGGAAGGGACCTTTTAAAGGTCATCTAGACCAACCCCCCTGCAATAGTATGTTCCTTGGTCCCATAACATGTTCTCAACTCCCCCCAAAAATGCACAGATTCACACTGATGTGTAATAGCTTTAAAAGGAAAACAAGTCCTGAAGAATTTAAATCACAACAAAGCCATAAAATATACTAACCTGTCCAGGGATCCTGACAACAACCTTTGTCCAGAGCTGTTCAGGCATAAACAAGTTACAGTTTTATGGTGATTTTTAAGTGAAACTAGTAGTTGTCCACCTTTTAGTACATCCCAAACTTTGACATATCGACCTCCTGTTATAAGGAAGCACACAAACAGCCTTACATATGTACACATTCACACTGCTCTGAAGTTTTCACAGAGTGACACAGTACCTCCTTCATAACACACTCTTCTGTACCTACTCACTATTCTCTTCCATTATGACTATCTCCTTGAACAAGACACATTACAAGCCTGGTACTTTCTAGGCCATTCTGAATGGAGCTGAATGGTTCATCATACTCCTTGCCAAAATGAAAAAATCTATAAGCCACTGGGTTACAGGACTTCTGATGCAATGGCAAGGAGAGACTGAAAAAACTTGTCAATGTGAAGAGAAAGACACAGTCCCATCTTCTCAAAACTTTTTAAGTATGTTCATTCCTTCACTTCAGCACTGGGCTAATTAAAACCTGTATTTTGTCATTAAAAATGTCTTTTTTTTGGGGGGTGTGGGACAGCTGCATGAATATTAAAACAGAGACAAACACATCCCAACTTCCACCTGCCAGATAAACACAGATTCCTAAAGAAGCTGTTTCAGAAATTCAGCTGTTATATCACTTACCCTGCCATTGCCAAATTAAAACACCACACAAGAAAAAAGCAACTTAAGTACTTCTCAAACTAGGACCACAGGAATTTGTGTTATTTGATTTTAGTGAATTACCTGCTGATACTAGAAGTCCACCAGAAGGGAAGAGAAGCACACTCTCCACAGGATGGCCATGTTCTATTGTCATGACACTACTTCTTGTTCGTGCATCAAAGAGTTTGACAGTGTGATCATAGGAACCTGCAAACAACATCATAAGCAGCTTCAGTTTCACCACTGAAATTATTTCAGGAAGTAAACCAGCCATGGCCTACAACCTAAAGGAGCTCCTGGCTAATAGTGACAGTTTTAAACCATGCACTTAAAAACACCTTGTGGTTTACCTCTGTTAGCTTATAGCCAACATAAAATTTCTAGTTCTGGCCCTAGCTACATGTCAGTCCTTAAAAGTAATTTAAGTTTGAATTTTATTTCACTTCCATTAATCACATATATTTATAACAGTAAGTATCAGACAACTTGATAAAAGCTAATCTCTTATGCCTCCTGAAGCAAGGAATGCTAGTTTTTATCACAGCAGTTTATCACAGATTAACAGAAAGCTACTGCTAGGAAAACCAAAAGGAACTGGTCTCAAATAACTCCTTACATGACCTTTCATTTTTGAGTCTGCCGTTTGGGGCTGTACAAACTACAACAGAACTTGTGTCCTGCTCCAGAAACATGATCAAACACTTCAGTCAATCCCAGTCAAAGGATACATTCACAGAGAACTAGTCAGAACAGCCCTGTTAACTCTATTAGCCAAAACAAAAATAT